ATGTTGATTTTATGTATCTAAATAACTATCCTGTTATCGCCCAATATTTGGTATATGTATAGTTACGTTGGACACTCTATATATATATACAGATCAAAAGGGAAAAGTGACTCGTCAAAGTTTCACAAATCAATCGTCAGAAATAGTACTATTCATTACTGTTCTCCCGTAATATTTCCACTCTATTCCGAATAACCTGTTCAATATAATTATCGAGGAATACCAATCTGCTTTCCCGAATCAAAAGAAAATTCATGAGTTGAGCGAGCGTAAATCTTTAAAAAAATGAAACAAACAGTAAAAGTTGACGATCCGAAGTTATAGCCACCATAAGAAAGAAGGATTTTCAGTGTTGGATCGTTCTCTCTCAGTTTTATTACACGTGAGTACATCCCTTTTGACCATTCGGTATCTTCGTCATTCCATTCAAATGCCCTAAGATTAAAAGTTATTGAAATAGGAAATTTACAGGATAGATTATATTTGCTGATAATGGTCATCATAGAAGAGCATATTATGCAAAACCGCCTATCTTTACTGAATGTTCCACATGAATGCTGCCAGTATGTGACAACTTGAATAGCTGACAAAAATTTTAAATAGTCTGAATGTCCACTGTACGAGCAAAATGCGAAAATTTAGTTTATGTTTCTCATTACAAGTATTATTTGTAACTTACATTGATGTGCCTTTCTCGTCAACTTTGGCGAATGCATAAAGAATGTGAGTGCACAGGCCTATTGGGATATCTTCCGGCAAGAATTTGCCTTCTCCTTTAAGATGAAAATGTATATTACATTTCCGACAGTAATACGATATTTGTTTTACTTTAATTAGCTCATTTATTTTTTTCAGCACATTAGTTTATGATAGAAAAAAAAAGCACACGTTGAAACGATGTACACTCAGGAAATATCAATATAAATAAAATTTGAGTTTATGTTGAAACTTGAACCATTAATCGATGTTTATTTTCCACTAATATTTCGTATAGTTTAAAATTCACTTTTAAGATCGAAATCTTGAAATGATTCCATCAGTTTTCTAATTTTTATTTGAAAAACTGTACAATCCTTTTAAATTATTGACTATTTAATAACAAAATTATTTCAAACATCAGTGAACCTTGTCGATATTGAGCCCAATTTGTGTAGTAACATCCGCGAACGTAACCTGAAGTAGGCTAATGCTTGAAGATATTTCAAAATCGATTTCGTCGTTATTTCTTTAAAATTTAGTCAACAGTATTACCAATTTTTTAAAATAAAATTTGTTTCATCTTCAACTTAGCCTCTTCATTTTGTGAAAGCTTCTGTGAAATTCAATGTATATCATTATCTCGACAATTTAGGATTGCAATGGCATGTAATGATTAGGATGTATGATCTGTTGTTATGCTTATTATATCTTCAGCGATGATATTTCGTGTTAACGCAACTGACGTGTCATTTTATTGAGCAACTTACCGTTTACAACAGTAATTGCGTTGGCAAGTATAATGAAAAGCGTTATCATAATCCAGTTCATGTCACCTTGTAAGACTTGTACACTTCTGCATTTCAACATTTATTACTGTGACTAACTGATATTTGTTTTCAGTAATAATTTCATTATTAGAAGATACGGCGTCATATGCATATGCGTTAGGAATAAAATAAGACAATCAGTTAATGGAAAATTATGAAATTACTATCATAATTATATGTAATTTGATGATTATGAATTTTAACAATTAAATGGGGAACAATAGCGGCATTGTATTAAAGGAGTTAGTAAGAATAATTGTTGCTACATATCAAAGGTTGAAGAAAAACATTCATTAGAAAAACTAGATGAAACTTGAAGATGAGAACTTTAAAATGTCGTTTTAATAACAAAATGGAAAGTTTTTCATGTTTTAATCCTATATTTAATTTTATTTTTGTTTATATGCTAAAATTGGAATAGATATGGAATTAAGTAAACCACGCTGAAGCCAAAATAGACGAATCAGGATTGAATTTTATACAGATTTTTATAGATATGGAATGTTTGCACAGCTTTCAAATAAAACAAGAAAGTTGGAAATAAAATGAAAACAATATCAACAATCTAATATTAATAATGTTGCACACTTTGTAAATCATATATTTTCACACTTTGCAAAGAGTGAAGCCAAAAAGCTGAAAACGCGTAATTTGATTGACGGATACTGGGCTAACTGAATTAATTAGTCGAAATTTCAATGTTGGGATGACATGAATAATTTTAAGGAGTTAAAAAAAAAACGAAAAACAGATAGAAAGCTGGAAAAACACAAGAAATGGCTAAAAGGCTGGAAAAACAAGGAAATAGCTAAAAAGCTGGAAAAACATTAAAAATATGCAGAAAGCTAAAAAATCCTTAATAACACTGCTACCATATTTGCCAAGAATTCTATTGTCTGGAGTTTTTGTTATGTCTTTTATCGTAATAGGAATGAACAAAATTTTTCTTATGAGAATATGAAAATTCCGTATGCTGTAGATGTTACCCAGTTAAAACGTCATATCGTTAGAGATAACACTTTGTTCACGCAGCTGACGTGTCATTTGATTAAACAACTTACGTTAATAACAGTATTGACGAGTATAATAAAAAGTATTATCATAGTCCAATTCATGTCACTTTGTCAGAATCATGGTCCATTTGATCTGAAATGCATTTCAACATTTATTGTCATGATTAGCCGACATTTGTTTTCTGTAATAGTTTCAATGTTAAGGAAAACATTCATCGAGAAAATTTGGAGGCAAACTTAAAGATAAAATCTTTAAAATGTTGTTTAAAAAATAAACTGGAAAATTTTCCACATCTTAATATCAACATGCGAAATAATTTTAATTATACTTATATGCTAAAATTGGGAAAAACATAAATTGAATGAATGACACTGAAAATAAATTAGACTAGCCGAAAAGTGTATGAAATTGGGCAAATTAGACAGAAATCAAAAATTACTGTAAAAGATATCAGTAGGCTTGATTTTGAAACAGATTTTCATAGCTGCGAAATGTTTGCATAGCTTACAAATAAAGCAGAAAGTTGCAAAATAAAATGAAGATAATATCAACAGTAAAATATTAATAATGTTGCATATTTTGTAAATCATTTAAAAAGATTGTAATTTCTAAGAAATAGTGAGCATAAAAGTATAAAAATAAGATCAGGCTTTTTTCCAGAATATTCAAATAAGCATTCTGCAAAGTATTTGTCAATCAAACAAACAATCATATGCTTTCAAAAAAATTTCACTCCGATGAGAAAATGGGAAAAAAACAACATTTTTCGAGTATCGAGAAAGTAATCTACTGTATTATTGATAAGACTCTGATAATTGTCCTATAAACCCCAAACAAAACTTTTTCATATGCAAGGGCCTTTCAGCTACAAGTCATGTAATGAAAAATATTTTTGATTAGAAGATATTAGATTAATTAAATTGATTAATTAAAATCCGAAGTTGGAATGAGATAAATAATATTAAGAAGTTAGAAAAAACAAGAAATAGCTGGAAAGCTGGAAAAAAACAAATAACTCGAAAGCTGAAAAAACATTAAAATTAGACGGAAAGCTGGAAAAATATAAGTAATAATGCTATTATATTTGTCGAGAGTTTTTATTATTAAAAGTTTTCATCATATCTTTTATCATAATGCTGAAAATTCCGTACATTGTACACACCATCCAGTGATAGGAATCGTTAGAAATAATTGAAGCTCGCCTTTGATCATAAATAAATTCATTTGCATATGTGTGGAGAATAATTTTTGGAGAATAATAATAAAAATATTAAGTACACATAATTCTTGTTAGCTATTAGTTGATTACTTTTATTTTGACAGGTGTGTAACGTCCTAAAACAAAAACTTCTCCATAAGCAAATCAATCTTTATCAAATATTTGATTGTTCAGTATAAACGTTTT